GCAGACATTAGAATAAGGCACAAATCTCAAAATCTTGATTTGAGGTGAAGCTTAAAAAAAGAAAGCTATGCACTTCGTAATGTATATACCCATACTTCATGATGTACACAGACTGCTAAGACTGTCAGAAAGAACATTGGAAAATGTATTCCTATATCCACTGGCTGGCCAGATTTTCTCTGAGACGAAAGCTGAATGTCTTGTTCAGCTAAACTGCAATCTCCACCAACTTCTTCTGTGTCTTACTACCAAAGTGAAACAAAACACAATTTTGGTGCATTCTGAGTTCTTTCAGTTTTGTTTTGTTTTTAAACACAGCAAACAACCTTCTCTACAACACTGATAAGTCTCACAAGGCAAAAATCTTAGTATCATTGGCTGTGTTTTGTTTCAAAGCAGCAGTGAAATTCTGAAGCGAAATCTCCAACAATTCCTTCTGAGCCTCTGCACAGTGATTTGGACATGTCCAAACTGGACTTGTTTCACAGGAGACCAGAGCAGTGGCTGTTCTCCAGGCTAACACTGAATACGCTCCAACCTCTTGGTGGGAACTCAGAGATTCAAACCAATGATCAGTCTTTCCAAAGTTTGATGGAGGGATTTAAATTTAGTTTGAGGCAAAAGTACAAAATGCACATAATGTAGATATAATGGCTTCGGTACCAACTCCTTCTATTTCCTCATCTGGTCCTATTGCTCCAAGCTATTTACTAATGTAAACACAGACATCATCGGCCCCTGAAAAAAACAGCAGATCAAAAAAAAAATAGTTTTTTAGATGCCACAGTGATTAATGTGATGAAGGATCTTTTTTCTGATAATTTAGATGTGCATGCAGCACACCAAAAAACATTTAATGCTTTGAATCACTGCATAACACTGAACAGTTTCCCATCATGCCAGCTTTAAAATAACAAGCAGGCCCAACTGAACTCAGAATTTATTATTTCAAAACATGTGGTTGCTTCTCATCCTCAAATCGCTAATGCATGTGTAAGCACATAAGGCGCCGTTACCGTCACATTTACTGAATCGAAAGCTAAAAGTACTGAACTATGTCAAAACGAACCACCCGAGCACAGCGATGTGGCTCATGAGATTAACAGTCTCCCTCCTAATGGGAAACATCTTCGAGGACAGGGCTGCATTTACCTTACAATAATATCTGAAGGCACAGGCTATGCTCCACATTTTAAATTATTATAAAAACTTCAACTCTCTCCCTATTTATACTGCCAAAGGCAATTCCCCCTTCCTCTGTGCTATTCCTGCCATTCC